TCCAGTGTTTGTGGATATATGTATTTATTGTAATTTAATTAACAGTTAAATACATGAATAGAAGAATTATGAACGGATGATTGTTTCTTATTCTTTTAATTGGAATATGGTATAACAATATTCCATGTCGTACACTAAAATGAACGATTCATTCACGAATCACTGGTTTTATTTGTCATCTGGAATTTAAAGAATTTACGCAAAAATATTCAATAATATTACAAGAGGGAAATCAACAATCAATCAATCGAATACACAATATAATACGTTTCTATCAAACAATACCCTTGTTTCTTTGTAATTTAATTTTTTTTTATTCGAAACCGATTGATCTATTATTTTTGAAAAAAAAAAAATTAAAAAAATTTTATTTTTATCCTAAAAGTTGATTATTTGTGATTGTAAATATTTTTTATTGACGTGGTTAACATTGTTGCAAATGAAATTACGTAAATTTTTATTCAAATGAATTTAATCTCTGCTGAATTTTTTCTTCCTCCAATAAATTTTCCCTTTATTCGTGAGATCCTTATAGTTTAGCAAGAGGAGTCTACTTTTATAACCGAATTTCCACGACATTTACTGGCGTTAATGGACGCTATTGGGAAGTCTCCAGACAAGAGAGATTATTTTAGAATGGAAGTGAATCCAAGTAAACAGTATTCGGAAACAAGGTAAAAATACTTGTCTAAAAAGCGTCTTTCAACCGTGGTTTATGCTAAAATTAAAAGTATCCTGAGATAGGGTTTTTATTGGACTCTTCCAGATAATTTTTTTTTTTATTCTCTTTTATCTGAGTTTAGAAATACTATTTAATCGTCATTGATAACCAATCCTTTTTAAAAAAAATCTCTAAAATTGAAATAAATCTTTTTCTTTGAATTAAAAAAATATATTTCCATCAAACTTGCTTCATAAATCATTTTTATGAACCCAAATAAATACTTCTAGAACCCAAATTATTTAATTAGAGTACCATAATTTATATTTCAGTGAAACACAATTTTTTTTTTTTTTTCTAGGGGAAAAATTCATTTTCCAGTAGTTTAGTCAAATTTAAGTCAGGCATGAGGGAATTTCTTGGAATTTGAGTTCCTAGACCTTTTTTATTTTTATTTTAGATGGAAAAAAGAATAGTTGGGATGAAAAATAAATGTAAGCTGAGTAATATGATATTGATTTAGTTAAAAAAAAAAAGCTCACATGTCAAAAGCTATGACTTTGTATCTTATTTCCTATGTGAGTTGTAGCATATATAATATGTTTTCATTATCAAAGTGTACAGAAACTTGAAATAAAATGTCGTACGACATGGTAGTGTACATAAACATTTCATCAAAATATTCCTGTTAGACTTATGTCCACTGTGGATTTAGCTCTTTAGCTTGGTTTTCTGATATTAATATGTAGTCTGGCTTTTCTAGATTAATATGTATCCCTATTTTTACTGTATGTATCGTTATTGCAGCACTGACACGATGAATAATAAAAGGAATAAAAAAATAAAATGAAAAGAAAAAAATTGAGTTTGAGACGACGGTTAAAAAGAATAAAAAAGTCGATGAATGGCCGGGTAAATGTTGAGTTGGATGAGATTGAAAAGAGGAGAAAGACATGAAGAGAAAATACATCGGCTATTCCAGTCATGCTACTTTTCCTACTATATATAAGACATCCCTGGAGAACCGTATATACCAATAATTATGCAGAGAATATCACGAGTTAGCATGGTCTTTGCATAATAAGTGGTTTCATTGTCAAAACCGTCTATTCTCACGCTCATTTTTTTCTTTTTTTTTCATTATTCTATATGTTATATAATTTTTGCAAGCAATCATGATCAATATTATCATCACCTGTGATTGAAGAAAACCTTAATTATTAAAAAAAATGGATTATTTCAAATATATTTAGTTGTTAATAAATATCATTTTGTTAATGTATCATTTCTATAATAACTCTACCAATATTAATTTTCAATGGACAATAAATAAAACTAATAAAAAGCCAGAGAGTCTTTCAACTTGGAGTTCATGGCTTTAACTAATTAATTCTAGAGCAACTAATCATGATAAAAAAAATTTAATCTGTTTATTAAACGAAACACAACAGGATGAATAATGTGAAATGATTATAATAGTAAACATAAAAAGCCAATTCCGCAATATAGATTAATGTCTTTTCTTAATAGAAAATTATAATCGTATATCACTGGATAAACATAATTGACGCTAAGAAAGTAGTATTAAATGTCGTAAAAACATTTGGCAGGCGGTAGGTATATTTATGAGCTCCAGTAGTACCAATAGGTCGCTCTAGTACAGGGGATATAGGGTTGCACGTAACTCAGCATCAGTGAGTACCGGCTACGTAGGGGTTTCTAGTCCCTCGTATTTCCGTAATCCCAAGCAACACGCTCCAGTCCTAACACCCTGCTATACGTCTCCAACAACGTTGCCCAGAGAGAGAGAGAGAGAGAGAGAGAGAGAGAGAGAGAGAGAGAAGGAGAAAGAGATATACAGTTACGTCAGTTTGCCGTCCTACTTGCCAGTTACTTTGAGGTTGATCCTGTCCTGACCCGTCCGTCTATTCTCTTGTCTTAATCGCACTAATTCCAATCTCGACCTCAGTCAAAGAGTCAGACTATGTCTCTTTGTGCGAGCGAAGAAAAATCAAAGAACGGAAAGAAATCATGATCTCACTAGTGTTCTTGGATAAGTTGACAAGATGTTTTTAATTTCAACTCCTGGATGTTTTGTATTTTATAAAGAAAGAAAAATGATTATTCATTTTTTAGTATTTCTATCTGGGCGTTTAAAAGAATAAAGAATGTTTGATTTTACACAAGTTTATACAATTGTTTGCCATTATTAAGGCACAATAATTTTTTTTCATAACTAAAATATAAATGTATCTTGCAGCTCACTTAGAAACCGCCAAAAAAGCTCCGTGTGAAACCTTCATTTCTCCAACCCTTAAAACTTTTGAGAGGTTCAAACGAGAGAAGTGATTTTAGTTCACAATCAATGACTTTAATCGTACCCTACCCATTAAACCTTTTTCGAAAAATCTAAAAAATACTCTAGTCTTCATTTTATCCTTCTAAATTTAGAAATAAACTTGAAAATAGAGTAAAAAAAGTTTCTAATGAATTAAAATAATTGTTAGTTGAAGAAAAAGAAATAAAGTTATTTTTAATTAATATTGTGTGAATCTACTCGTTGGATAATTGCCAATTACATTGTCACATGTAAAATTTTGCATGTCCATCAACTCAAGAGAAAACCCGGAACTCTATTAACGTCCTCACGTAATCTCTACGGTCGATCAATTGATCATTATTGATAATACTGAGTGACCCCTGAGGAAACGATGTACACGCGGAAATACAGACGCGATTTAACGTACATGTTATTACGAATAGTCAATAGCTACCAGCCATTAGCTAATATAGATTATATAGTTCAATAAACATAATAGAGCCATAGTTGTTTGATATCCTACACCATCTTTTTGATTCCCTTTGACCCATCATCATATCTTTAATGTCATCAAATGCCCACCGAAGTTTACCTCTATATTTCATTATTTGTTTAATTATTCATCAATAACATTAACCGCATGAATGTTGTGAGAATGAATTTATTTTGGTATTGAAGGGATGATAAGATTTTTTTCTGTTAAATGTAATATTTGCATTTTATTAGATTAATTAAAATATTTCGAGCACTCATTTCACAGTTATTATGACATTTTACCAATTATTTTAATATCCTTTAATATTAACCAATATATAATGATATGCATCTGTGGATGACATAAATCGTAATATAACACCAGTAAAACAAAAATTTATTATTAACTTCATTTTATTATTTTTTTTTTTTTTTTAAATATATTTAACCAGAAAAGGAAACTATCCATTTAATGGAGAATAAATTTTTATTTTAGCAATTAATTGTAAATTTTTTTAAATATGACAAAAACTGCTTGATAGAAAGTTGGTTTTTGTTTTCGAAAAAAAAAAAAACAAAAAATTTATTGTTATGGATCTGGATTTGAATAAGGATTTTCTATTTATTAGTGCGATATTGTAGAAGATTACTTTTCTACTTATTATTTCCGTCTCTTCTAATTAGATCTCTCTTAAAGACAATTTTTCAAACCATTCATGACCTACCTAAACCACCATTTCTATTATTGAATAGTGTTGAAGAATCTGTAAAAGGCCGGTGATAATTGTTGAGAAGTGTTTTACCATTCTCTAATTCGCAACCCGTAACTACTTACGCCACCATAAAAAATCTAATTTATTATTATTTCACTTTGTAGATTAAAAGCTAAAAATAAAGTTGTAATAATTTTAAAATGTATGACAATTACTTGAGCACAAATAAAAGTATTTTTCCTAAGGCCAAATAACATTTATCCTGTGTTAGAAAGATAATTAACAACGTATAAATGTTATCAAAGCAGGGAAGAGTAATGTGTATAATATAAGCATGAAACAAATTAGTATATACAGTATATCCAGTCATGTATATATTAGTAACAATGAAAAGAGAGAGGAGAATAGAGTAGAAAGTAGATATACATAGAGGAAGACCTTCTGTAAAACTACCATGACTTCCTATGTTCTTATCAGTCCACGTTCGATGCATAAAGCATAAAGTTACTATCTCATGCATACATTCATGCTACGAAAGTTATGACTTATGGTGTTCTATGGTATATGCCAGCCAAGTGAGTGAATATATAGAAAGATGGAGAAGTAAACGATGTATGTATGTATAAAAATAAGTAGACTCCACAAGAAAATCACTGAACAGTGACTGGAGCACGTTTCAAACCATAACACTTTCTATACTATATCGATTGATGGCTATAAGCTCAAAATTCTATTTTCCATCGTCAATTCATAGACAGTAAAAGGAAAAATATTTCATATTCTATATAACTGAATTTCATGTCTGATTAAATTTATGCTTTTCTACTTTCAGGTTTTTTATTATCCGATTAAAGGACCAATCCCATGGCGGCATTGGAATTATTTTTTGTCCTTGTTATGTTCTGTCAGCTCTACTTGTGTAAGTAACATTAAAAAAATATGTTTTCAACTCTTTATTCTTTTTTTTGTCTCGGAATTTAATTAAAAAGCTCATAATCAGATGCTATTTATCTTACATTGGATTCATTTCATTCTTTTTCGGATAAATAATTTTGTCTTGTGAAAAACAGTAATTGGATCGTTTAGAAGACTTTATTTCCGATCTCGTAAGCTACAGTAAAGATCAAATCGGTTTACTAGAACCTATCAAAAAAATTCATTATTTTTATTTTTTAAGTAATTAAATTTTTAAAAAATTATTCAGAGAACGTGAATTCCTTCAGTACTTGGTATAGTCCTAGATAGTCTTCAACAAAGTTAAATTAAGCGAAAAAATACCTACTTTGAATTCAGAATCATTAAATAAACACATAAATACAAATGTCTTTTTTAATGACAACTATCAGTTTGCGGAGCTCTACGACTAATTCGTTGGTACACTAGAGCATCAATGTAGTAGAGAGGAGATACAGTGCTAGATGTTAAAGGCACCAAACTAAATCATGGTGGGTTTAAGTGGGATTGTATAAACCCTTTGGGTCCGACGATGTATTACTTCTGTTCAGCTATTGTGGGACAATCCTCTGCGACGGTTTACCGAAGAAAACTGCAGTATAGCGCACTGCATATGCACTAGCATTTTATTATACACGCTCCATCTTCATACATTCAACATGTAAAATCTACACCTGGTATAATTTTAAGATAAAAAGTAATCCACCTTTCAAAATTTATTTATTCACTTAAACCCCAAGGATCTGACATTCCTCTATGTTTCATAACCACCATCATATGACTGATATTTTAACGTTATATTTTTCTGATTAATGCACTTCTATTTTAAATCGAAAAATAGAAGTGTAAAGTAGAGGGGAAAAATTAAATAAAATGGAGTAAAGTATGTTACGGTCAGACACAAGTGTAACAGCAAAGAAAACGAATTTTTATTAGAGTATAAATGGAAATTTTTTTTATTTTTTTTGATAAAATTTCAATACATGCGCTGTACACGGTGGAAGTAAAAATGAAAATTCATGTAGAGTGAAATGGAATCTGAGTAGTTTTATTCAGAAATGAAAGTTAAGGCTGGCGCTGGTACTGTGAGATCTACGGATACATTCCTGCTACCTGTCCCGTACAAACGTTCCAATCTTGAAGGAATTTCTGGAATGTCTACCGAGTGAACGTCGAGTGCATTGAATATAAAACGAAAAGAAGTTAGAAATAAGAACAAAGAAAATAAAATAAAAATAATAAGGTAAGGAAATCATAATAGAAAATGTAAATTTTACTATGAAAGTTATTTCAAGTTGCAGATAGAAACTATAAATAACCCTTTGTATTATAATTCTTGGAATAATAATAATTATTATTATCAAGAGATTTTAAATTGTCCATCTATGGCAATTTATTGTTGAATATAATTATTTAAATAAATTTTAGTAAGTGGAATACTTCATTTAGCATCAGCAGTAGCTGTGAAGTTATTAAAATTATTAATGCACTACATTGAATGAATTTGATTTTGTTATTCGTTTCGAAATTTAATTGATTGATTAATGAAACTTGAGGATCTATGAAAAGTCATGTTGTAATGTAAAAGTACTTACAAACATAAAAAATACTGTAAAAAAATATAAATATCAATAAAATAGTCGAAGCAAGTAGAGAAACTGTAAAATGATCAGTCATGAGCATCAATAATGTTGCTTTAATTGAGTAATTAATTAAAATCTGTCGGATTTATTTAAAATTTTATTTATTTAGTTAATGAAATGAGAGTCGTGACTGAGGGAAAAATAAAAATGAGGAAAATTCTTGACTTGTAATAGTAATTCAAGTGGGAAATGTCATTTTCATGGAGCTTTTATATAGCGTGGCCAGAAGCACGCGTGGAATTCTAATTTGGCAGGGCTTCATCTACCGTCTGTGGCTCTTATCGCTCTTCTTTTTACTCTCTTATACACTCTCTTTTAGCCGTCAAAATGTCGACAAAAATATTTACGACGTTGAAATACATCAAGACTTATTTCTTGATGGTGTCGAGGGTCAAGCTATGGATTTATTATTTTTTCAAGTGCTATATTCTGCGTTCAATCTTAACACTCAGCAGCTTTCTTCAATATTCCTTCCTAACATGCTGGATCGACGACTGTAGAAAATTCATATCCGAACGTTGGTCGTTTATTACAATGTGTGACCATTCTCGTTTCTATTATTTTCCAAGCTATTATCAGTGTTATTTTAGAAATAAGCTGGAAACATCAAATATTTATTAACCCTTCAATGAAATAAATTTTAATTATTACTTAACATCATTTTGTTAATTAATGATATATTGAAAGATTCACTGTTAAATTGATTTAAAATATTTTGTCATTGGTTCCAGGTCAAATCACGCCAGAAATCCTACCAGTGTTTTTAGCTCCATTGGAGAACCACACAGTAACCCAAGGCAGAGACGTCTCTTTCACTTGTGTTGTCAATCATTTACATAATTTCAGGGTGAGTAATAAAAATAACTTGCTGACAGAAATTAAATTATGCTTGATTCGTTAGTATATTTGTATGTTGAATTCCTAGGTGGCCTGGATTAAATCTGATTCAAGAGCAATTCTTGCCATTCATACCCATATGGTCACTCATAATCCTCGTCTCTCTGTGACACATAATGGACATGATACATGGAAGCTTCACATTTCGAATGTTCAAAAGAATGATTCAGGAACTTATATGTGTCAAGTCAACACTGATCCAATGCGAAGTCAAGTAAGAGCTCATTTAGGTTGATTTATTCAGCCTTACTTCAAAAAAGGTTTATGTTTTTTTTTTTAGACTTTTTTGACCTTTGAAGAGTATTTTTCCATTAAATCCATTAACACTTGCAAAAAATTAAAACAAAAACTAGTAGAGATGTGAAAATTAAAAACAAAAATAATTTAGCTGGAAAAAAAATCAATGATTCACATGCTAATAATGGTATCAATAATTTATTTAGAATCGAAAATAAAAAATTAACTAAATTTCTTAAATCAATAATTTATCAAAATACTGTAAAGTAATTTACATGTGTCTGTCACTAAGATGGGATACATGGTAGTGCAAATACCACCGGACATAATGGATGACGAGTCAACTGACGGTTACGTGACCCAAGAACGAGGGAATATCAAGTTGCGGTGTGTGGCTACGGGCATTCCACAACCTACAGTTACTTGGAGACGAGAAGATGGACGAAACATTACTCTGCGGGAAGAAGGAAGAGAGAAGATCTGTAAGTTTTATTCCATTTCATTAATTTCATTCTCACTAGCTATTTATTCATCAACTTCATTCATTACTGAAGAATTATCTTATTTTAATAATACATATTCAATAACAACTTGGTTTCACTTGGTAGCTGTAAAGAACTTTGATGGTGAAACGCTCAATTTGACTGGAGTTTTGAGACAAGAAATGGGGAATTATTTGTGTATTGCTAGCAATGGAGTCCCACCAACTATTAGCAAACGATACTCTGTTCAAGTCCATTGTAAGTCTTATTATAATAAAAAATGAAGAATTTTGTGAAAAAAATAACATTTTGCTTTTTACTGTAGTTCTTCCGGTAATTAAAGTAACTAATCAATTAGTTGGAGCTCCAGTGAATCGAAACGTGACTCTTGAATGCATTGTGGAGGCATCGCCACGAGCCATGAATACCTGGTACAATAATAAAGGTTAGTGCATTCTTCAATGGAAATAAAGAAAATTGATAATACTACATTTTAAATGCATAAATGTACATTAGAGAGAATTTATTTAATTGGCTTGGTTAATTGATCCAGTTTTATTGAATAAATTTTTTATTTATGGGATAATCATTGTTTGAGAGAAGTTGAAGACATGATATCCCTAAGAAGTCTAAAAAACGAATTTATTGTAATGAAACTAAATATTTATTTTTACTAATTGTTTTTTTATAAAATTTTATGAATTAATTAAATTTACAGGAGAGAAATTAATGCATAATGGAAAATACACCATGTCAGAATCTGCGTTACCTGATGGCTACTCATGGCAGATGAATTTAACGATACACAATCTAGAAAAAAAAGACTTTGGAAGTTACGCGTGCGCAGCGGTGAATGCTCTTGGACGAGCAGAAGCGGCAGTACGATTGCAAGGTAACGATGAATTAATCTGCCCCCTTGAGGCTATTAGTGCAGAGTAGAGATAGAGGATAGGGATTACGCGGAGTGAGCATTCAGGTGCAGCAACAGGTGAGCAAGTCAGCAAGAGACGTGTGGAGACGATAAAGCACATTGAAATCAGTACCTCCACATATATATGTATTTACCACACATTTTAATGCAATTTAAACTTATGAATACTTGAAAAAGTTATTAAAATAAAATTCTGATAGAGTCATTTATTCTCTGCTTCAAACGAGTTATAGCAAAGTTTCATTTATCACGTGTATTTCATCAGCAAAGTGATATTGTAATGAAAATAGATCCTAAGTTTAATATATTTCGAAGAGTTTTTATCAGTTTTCATAAACAGTAGAATGAAAAAATTGTTTATAAAAAATTTTTTTATTTCATGCTATTTATTCACACAATTAATTGGATAAATTTTTTCAGAACTTGAATTGGTAACAGAGACAACACCAGGCCCAATATCAAGGAACACAGATGCAAAAGTTCGGAAAAAAATTTACGGAAAAAAGAAAATAAACACAATTAATCGACGACCACATGATGGTTATACGGAATTCAACAATAACCTGGAAGGCGCTAATGATCTCGTTACAACGCAGATGATGGGAGGAAGTACACAAGAAGGGCACAAAACAGAAAGACCGTTAGTTTTACCATCAATTTCACCACCTTGGGTAGTTCTTGTTGGTAGAAGTGAAAGGATAAATGCATCAATTGAAACTACATTGCTTCTTTTATTAACGATATTATTAATCAACTATTGATTAATTCACCTAAACACCAATTGTTGTTGATTTCATTGTAAATAACCACTGAAAAATAATTCTTTTGATAATTATTATTTTACTAAATAATAATAATAACGTTAATGACTGCAGGCTAATTCAGTGGATCGATATAAAGCTCTACATATATAATTAAAGAGGCGTATAATGATAGGCATATGCGGGTTTTGCTGCGGGTGTAGAAATTTAGTTAATGATATCCAGATTACATAAAATTTTATATTAATTTATCGCCAATCATCACTATAAAGCATTTATTAAATAATTAAAATTGAGATCATTGCAAATAAAAAAATCTAATTTTTCGTCTTCCATATATTTGTAACGAATGACTTTTAATTCGATAAAAAGAAAACTCGTTGAGAAAATGAGTACAAAAATTAAAAAAAAAAAAAATATTTTCTATTCAAGAGAAATTGAAAAAAAAAAATTTATTAAAATAATTAATCTCTTTTTACTTATTATTTTGGATATTTTTGAAAGTTTACTCATTTATGATAAGAGGATTTAATAACGCGAATTGTCTTCCTATATTTTATGAGAATTTAGTTACAGATTATTGAGAGATTATTTCATAATATGTACTAATAATTTAATTATCAGGAGAATATTTAATAGAATATTGTAAATATTTCAAAAACTATACGCTTTATTATATAGTATTTAGTCTATAAACTAATCAATTATTATTATTATTATCGAAAACATTATCATTCAACTAATTTATATTTATTAATATTCCAAAATGAATTAATCATAAAGCTAAAATGCCTAGAAATTATTTAAAATATTCTTGTGCAGTAACTTATAGTCAAAATACATTTGATAATTATTTAGAAACGATGATGATAATAATGATAATGTTATTAATAATGAAAATATTAATTTAAGGAATTGAGACAATAAATAATGAATAAGGTGGGTATTCATAAGGTGACATTGGAAAATGAAAACTGTAAATTTAAAGAAAAGTAAAAAATGTATAGACATAGTATGAATAATTGATACTGTGGAAATAAATTGGACTTTAATAATATTAATGATAATAAAATTTGTTGTTACGTCGAAGGCATTGGATAGAAAATGTAGTAGGTAATTTATTTGAATTATAAAGAAGACGATATATGTGGCAACGAGACATGATATAGGACCACGGTTAATATACATGTATATATTTAACGAATGATAATTAAAAGAAATTAACTGAAACTATAGTAATATAAATGTAAATAATTTTCTTGAACAAAACTTATCATGAAAAAGTTGTGTTTAAATTCTAGATTTTGCAAAAACAAAGTATTTTTTCCGTGTTTAGTTATCTAAAAAAATGTCTTTTAATGCAACGAAATGTAATTCAATTGTTTTTAGACGGAATTACATATTTTCAGTGTATTTGAACTGTTTAAAAAAAAAATATTAATATCTACAACAAAGATTTGATGAATGTAAAGTTTTTGCAACAGCAATAATATTAATAAAACTACTATTAAGTAAATTAACAATAAGACATTAAGGATTAATGAAATTGTAAATCGATAAAATATAATTATAAGAATAATAATAATAATAATAATTATTATTATTATTATTATTAATGAATAATTTACATCGTTAATGAACAGATAATTAATAATCAAGACAATAAAATGTTACTATCGATGTTAACAAAATTATAATTTTATTTATTATTACTTTTGTTGTTGTTTAATTTACGTCGTTTTCCAAGCCTTATTTTTTCCAATTCTTTTGTTTGTTCACTTTCAATTGTACGTTTAAGTTTATCCAAGTGACTTTGATAATTTATCTTCTCAGCTATTGATTCTACCGATTCTAAATGTTCGATTGTTGGAACAACTTTATGAGCTGAGCTCAGCATTCTATTGAAAGGGACTATTTGGTTGGGAGTCAGAATCGAGATTGCTGTTCCAGACACTCCTGCACGACCAGTACGACCTACTCGATGAATGTACCCTTTTACGGACTTTGGGAGATCATAAGACACCACAAGTTTTATGTCGTGGATATCTAATCCTCGCGCTAGAGCATCCGAACTTACTAATCTGAAATAGATAATTTTTTTATTTCATTACGTTCTACTTTATCTTATTATAATCTTAATTGTATGAAAAAAAAATTTTTTTAAGGTTCTTAGAATTCAATCAAAAATATACTCACATTCTACTTTCTCCAGCTCGAAATTTTTCCAATATCTGAGCACGTTGTTTTGGTATCAACTGTGCTGATAATTCACTAACGTTAAAATTAATTTGTAATTGTTCTAGAAAACTTGCTAAAAGTATTGCTAATCTGTGAGCAGATTCACCAGAATTGGTGAATATCAAAATTTTGTCCGTCGGTTTTTGATATTGTTTAATCAATTCATATAAGACAATCGGTTTATATTCAGGAGGTGATTCATAAGCACGTTCTATCAGTTCATTAGGACTAGTATATTTGCCAATGAATTTATTCATTTGATTATCCAAGTCTATATCTTCATCAGTTTGATTTGTTCCCGATACTGAAGTGAATAAAATTGGATTGAATAAACTCAGACGACTCAATTTTTCAGGATCTTGTGATAAAGTTGCGCTGAATAGTAGCTTTTGTGCTGGTTTAATTGGACTAAAATAATTAAAAAATATTTTTTATTCAATTTCATTAATAATAAAATACTTTTACATTAGTAGGACTCACTGCGAGTTGAGATTTTTTATTGTAAGGTAAGGGGGAGTGTGATGATACTCTGGAATAAATTTAAGCCAATCAGTTGCCCGGTCAGCCTCATCGATAACTAAAAATTCAAGACTCTGTAATGAAAATCCATTTGTTCTTTCTATATGATCTATCAACCGTCCTGGTGTTGCTACTAAAATGTCCACACGACTGATAAATTGTCCTCTTTCAGCTGTAAATATTTATTTATCTATGAATTTAAGAGTAACTATATCTCCTATTGAAAAAAATAATAATCATTTAATATTACTTGTTTTAATTAAATTTTTCTGTTCAATTTCCAGAGTTGAAGCACCGGAAATTAAGCCAATTTTAAGATTACTTTGTGTCGAGTAAGTCGTTAAAACTTTGTAAATCTGAGCTGCAAGTTCCTGGACTGGTACAACAATCAGGCATCGAATTTCACGAGTCAATTGGTTCTTCAAGTATTGAATAATTGGCAACACATATGCCAAAGTCTTACCTAAGGAATGAAAAAATGTTCAAATTAACTCTTAATTCTCAGTAATAAAGTTAAAATAAATATTTTATATCTACCACTGCCAGTAGGTGCAGAAACACATGTGTCTCTAACCCACCAACCCTTCATTCGATCTTCACTACACTTCTGCATCCAATTTATTAATTTTTCCTGCACTGGAAATAATTTATTTATTCCATTGGCTTTCAACAGTTGAATCAGCTGATCATCTAACAATCCTTTAAGTTCTTTCAGCTTTGGACCACTACTCACATCTGATGAAATAATTTGAGGGCGTGCTAACCAAACTGGCAATACTCTTTTGACTTGCCTTTTCTTCTGTAGATTTGTGGAGCCAAGTACCATAAAGTTTTCTAACTGTTTATTAATTGACTTCTCCGATTTCTCTGTCATAGAAATCTTTTCGGCATTTACATCGTCATTGGTATTATTAATGGATACGTCCTCCGGTTTATTATCAGTTTGTTCACCATCATCAACATTAATTTTTTCCTTTTTCCTTTTCCTACTTTTTCTATGAGATTTGGTAAATAATAAATTATTTTCTTCACTATTTTGAAAATTTTTACCCTCACTCAAGGCACCTTGCTCTCTCAATTTTTTTCTCTCTTCTATTTTTTGTAATAATTCTGATAAATGATTGTGTGGCTTATCAGATTCTTTTTTATCATTATACCTATTAAAGTAATTAAATGAAAATAATTTTATATTAAAAGCAAAGAAATTATCCGTGTATTTACCTGTTGATGACAAATAAATCCATTTTTAATTCGTTTATTCACAATTTTAATATTTGTTTTTGTAAAAAGAATTTATTATCAACATATCAATTTATACATATTAGTTTATGTACAAAATTTTAGTAATTCGTCAAATATAAAATTATAAACAAACACACGTGTTTATTATACAATTTTTGAAAACGTTAGAATGAAGAGGTTATGGAAAATGTACTACGTTACTCGTTGAACCTTTTAGTCATTTGATTTTTAGTTCTTCATTTGACCACCATACTTCCGCTTTCTAACCTTTCAAGATTTCCTTTTCACGACGTGCTCGCGACAATGCAGAAAGTAAGAATATTTCTTTTATTTCATAGCTATTTTTTTGAAGTAATACTCAATAATAATGACAAATATGATATTTAATTACAGAAACAGAAAGAACCGATCCATTCAGTCCAAGTTTTTGGACGCAAAGTAAGTAAACAAACAGTCAAGTTGTGATCAGTAATCATAAGCGTCATTCTAACCTTTAAAATGTCGACAACAATTATTGTGACATTTATTTAATAATTAATTAATTTTTTTTTTCTTTGTTATAGAAAAGTGCAACAGCTGTTGCATATTGTAAACGTGGTCGTGGAATTCTACGAGTAAATGGACGACCCTTGGAGTTGATTGAACCCCGAGTTCTTCAATATAAACTTCAAGAACCCATTCTTTTATTGGGAAAGGTATTCAAATATAAATGGTTACAATTAAACTAATTAAAAAAAATTTATTTTAATAGACTAAAATCAATTGTTCTCTTCTCTTTAAGGAAAAATTTTCTGGTGTTGACATTAGAGTAAGAGTGAATGGTGGTGGTCACGTAGCTCAAATTTATGCTATCAGACAAGCTATCTCTAAAGCTTTAGTAGCGTATTACCAAAAATGTAAGTCCAACAAATGAACTAAATCAGTTTTGTAACAGATAAATAATTGGAATGTATAGAGTATAAATTTTTTTTATTTATTGCAGATGTTGATGAAGCTAGCAAGAAAGAAGTTAAAGACATTTTGATTCAATATGATCGTACACTACTTGTCGCTGATCCTAGAAGATGTGAACCCAAGAAATTCGGTGGTCCAGGTGCTCGAGCACGATACCAGAAATCTTATCGTTAATTACTATTTGTTTTACGTGTAAGCGTAATGATGTAATAATAAAAGAAAAAAGAAATTACCACCTGTCTATTTACTAAAAAAATATTCCCAAGGATTAGTTTTTTGTTAATAATTCATTTTTGCATTTAAGGTTTATCAAATAATTTCTTACAAAAAATTTATTTGTTATATAATGCAATTTATTTATATTTAAATGAATAGAGTTAATTGAAAAATCATATGAATTTTTATGATCTTTTTCCTGTGTCAACATAACCTCAATTAATGATCAAGATGTTTACTCTCATGATTCTAACCTAAAATTCTACGTTAAGTAATGTAACATTGACGAACCAAATCAATCTGATTTATCATATTTTTCACAAAAGAACAAATACTGTAAAACATATTATTTACAATGAAGACAAGATTCGATACTTATGATCTCGTTTGCTCCATCGCAGGGCTTCAAAGGTAATCAAAATAATAAAATATGAATTATTATTGTTAGATGTTAATTTTGTGGTTAGAAAAAATCATTGAGGTTAAGTGTATAAAATTAATTTTTATAAAAATATTTAACCCTTTTATATGAATTTATCTACAAATTTGCTAAAATAATTAGAAAAATTATTCATTTTACAGGCTTATCGGAATGCGAGTGAATCAAGTCTACGACATTGATCATCGTACTTATTTAATTCGTTTTCAAAGAAGTGAAGAAAAATGTATTTTACTTTTAGAATCAGGAAACCGCATGCATACGACAGCATTTGAATGGCCAAAGAACACAGCACCGTCAGGTTTTTCAATGAAAATGCGAAAACATTTAAAGAACAAGCGACTAGAATCTTTAACTCAAATAGGAACTGATAGAGTGGTGGATCTTAAATTTGGCTCTGATGAAGCTGCTTACCATGTAATTCTTGAAGTTTATGATCGAGGAAATATTATATTAACAGATTATCAATTAACAATCTTAAATATTTTACGACCACATACTGAAGGAGACAAGATACGACTTGCTGTGCGAGAGAAATATCCTGTGGATCGTGTTCACACGACAACAATGCCACCAAGAAAAGTTATTGAATCTCGATTAGCAGAAGCCAAGTCTGGAGAATCGTTAAAAAAATTTCTCAATCCTCTTTTAGAATTTGGATCAGCATTAATCGACCATGTATTACTAAAATCTGGCTTTCCAAGTAACTGTAAGATTGAAAAAACATTTAATGTTAAAGAAGACATGGACAAATTATGGTCAGCATTACAATTAGCAGATCAGATACTAGAAGATGCAAAAAAAGGACCGTCCAAAGGATATATTTTTCAGAAAAAAGAATCTAAACCTAGTCAAGATGGTAAAGACGAGTTTATGATGGTAAATATTGGTTTTCATCCTGAATTACTCGAGCAATGTAAGAATCAACACTATAAAGAATTTGATAACTTTGATGCAGCAGTTGATGAATATTTTTCAACAATGGAAGGACAGAAGTTAGATTTCAAAGCTTTAGCACAAGAGAGAGAAGCATTGAAGAAGTTAGAGAATGTGAGAAAGGATCATGATCAACGGTTAGCCGGTTTAGGAAAGGTTCAAGAAGAAGATAAAAAGAAAGCTGAATTAATTTCGAGAAATCAAGCATTAGTTGATAATGCAATTTTAGTGGTTCAAAGTGCTTTGGCTGCTCAAATGCCTTGGCCAGAAATTGAAGAATTGATAAAAGAAGCTCAAATGAGAAATGATCCGATCGCTCTGGCGATTAAAAAATTAAAATTCGAGACTAATCACATCTCACTTTATCTCACTGATCCTTATGAGAGTGTAAGTGAATGCTCATCTGATGAAAATAATGAAGAAAATCAGGATAATGTGATTGCTGATAAGAAAGATAATGCAAAAAAAAATATTCGAGATGTTCCACAGTTTTCCATAAGTTATCAAAAGAAAAATGATGATGAGAAAAAAAAAGATGATAATAAATTGAAGAGTCATAATCAGATACAAAAAAATGTATTTAAGAAAGGCAAAAAAAACGTATTTATGCCTGAAGAACCTCTTGATGATAAAGATGATGGTAGGCTTAAACCAATGATTGTAGATATTGATTTAGAATTAACTGCTTTTGCTAATGCTACGAAATATTATAACATGAAGCGGTCAGCTGCTAAAAAGCATCAGAAGACAATCGAGTCTCATGAAAAAGCCCTAAAAAATGCTGAGAAAAAAACTAAACAGACATTAAAAGAAGTTCAAGCTATTCATAGCATTAATAAAGCTAGAAAGGTTTATTGGTTCGAGAAATTTTACTGGTTTATTACTTCTGAAAATTATTTAGTGATTGGTGGTAGAGATCAACAGCAAAATGAATTGATTGTCAAGAGATATTTAAGACCGGGTGATTTATATGTTCATGCAGATTTAACTGGTGCAAGTTCAGTGGTGTTGAAAAATCCATCTGGAAATCCGGTTCCTCCAAAAAGTCTCAGCGAAGCTGGAACCATGGCTGTTGCCTATAGTATTGCTTGGGATGCTAAAGTAGTCGCTAGAGCTTACTGGGTTCATCACGATCAGGTATCTAAAACTGCACCAACTGGAGAGTACTTGACGACTGGATCATTCATGATACGAGGGAGAAAAAATTATTTGCCACCTTGTCAGCTTGTTATGGGTTTAGGATTTTTGTTCAGACTAGAAGAGAGTTCTATCGAACGACACCAAAGTGAGAGGAAAATTAAAACCCTCGAGGAAGATAAATTTTATGTTTTTAAAGAAGAAAGTGCTGATGAAGAAGAATTAAAAGTTCCAGAAGATGATTCTGATAATTCTGATAATGAAGGAAAGTTAGAAGCAATTGAAGAAAATGAAAAAGTTGATGATATCAATGATAATAAAGAAGATTCTAAGAGTAGTTCAGATGAAGAAGGAGATCAAGTGAAATTTCCTGATACCCAAATAAAATTGGATCTTTCAGGAGCTCAAATGAAGTTTTCTGTTGATCCTAAAAGCTCTCTGAAAATTCACCAATCAGATGAGGAAATAATTTATTTAGGTGATGATCAACCAGTGATATTAAAGCCTAGTTTGAAGAAGAAACCCAATCAAGGTAAGGTTTCTGTAACAATCGAAGAACAGCTCAAGACTCAAGAATCAAAAGGGAACTCGGAAAGAACGAAAAGACGTCAGAAAACTAAGCAAAAAAAAATGATGAATAAATACAAAGATCAAGATGAGGAAGATAGGCAAATAATTATGGAAATGATGAAACCTAATCCTGCAAGGGAAGCAAGAAAGATGAAGAAAAATAAGAAGACTGATCATACTAATCAAGCTCGAAAGAAAAATCGTAATATTTCAAACCAGTATGATACTCAGAGACAGTCGAATAATGTTGAAAATATTGATGATGATGCAGATCCAGGACCAGCACCAGAAGTTGATATGTTAAATCAGTTGACAGGGAAACCGGTTGAAGAAGACGAATTGTTGTTTGCAGTGCCAGTCGTTGCACCCTACAATGCTGTTTTAAACTATAAATTTAAAGTCAAGTTGACTCCAGGGACTGGAAGACGAGGTAAAGCAGCAAAAACAGCATTAGATGCCTTCTTGAGAGATAAAATAATTACTCAGAGAGAAAAAGATTTATTGAAAGCTGTGAAAGAAGAAACTGTAGCCCGAAATATACCTGGCAAAGTTAAGATTACCACTCCTGCGGCTACCAAGTCTAAATCTTAAATTAATAGCATTACTTATTGAAATAAAGTTATAAAGATGTAAATATTATTATTATGTAATAAGTAATGGAGAGTTAAAAATATTTAAAATAAATAAAAAAATACTGCATTTTTGTGGCTGTTCTTTCATTAATATTTTTGAAGAAAATTTCAGAGATAAAAAATCACAACGTTCATTTAAATAAATATAAAATATAATAATTATATAATTTATTAGATTTATTTAAAATATCTTTTGTGCTGCCGCGTACGGTGTCTGCTGCAAACACTTGATTGATCTTTCTGGTCTGAAACACACGGTAACCTAAACACGTTTTTTTGAGTATCGGAGTGTAAAAATTAAATTTTTCTTACATAAAGAAGGATATCGGGAAATAAACGATTTTCTTCAATAATTATTGAAAGCTTCTAATCATGCTAGGACGATTGATAAGGCCAGTTGCTCGTGTCGTACAAAAAAGTAAGTTTAACATTGAAATAACTCAAGACAATATTATATAACTATTACATTGATTGATGTTGTAAATTTTTATGTGATATCAATGACATGAAATGTTAAAATAATCATTCAGGTGCTCGAGGATATCACAAGGAGCAGGTCCCTTTTAAGTTTCCAACGATGGATGAGTTACCAGTTCCACAAGGGTCTTGGCAAGAACAATACAATAGAAATCAAAAAACATACAACGCTGCACTTGTTATTGGTATTGCTCTTCTTGCTGGAACCATTACTTTTGTAAGTTTCATTATTTCACTTAAGCGACTATTGCAGAATAATCATTGTTTAAATATAATAAAATAATTGATTATTATAGGGAAACATGAGTGGAGCATTGTACATGAATAGTTCACCACCAAATATCGATATTCCATACAACGACTACAGCAAGAAATAAACCATCTTTCTTAATATCATCAGTTTAAGTTTAGTCTTGTTCTGCAATTCACCTTAATCAATAAAATCATAAGAATGAATAATATATAGATTTTTGCTGATTGTATAAACAAAAATTGACCGGAAGAAGCTGTTTAATGAAATAAATTATCTAGTAAGTAATTTTTACTTGTTTTTATTGTATTTTTTTTTTTTTATTAAAAATATTATTTCGTTAATTTATAGTGGATAATAACGGTATTTAATGAAAATACATAAAATCATCACGCATATTTTAAAAAATTTTGAGTACCGTTGAAATGTAATGTGCATTTATTGACAATAAACAGTCATTTTTCGACTGTAAAATATTAGCCTTAATATCTATTTGACAAATTTTTTATCTAAACTACATAAAAGTTATTATCTTTGAATAGGAGATTTTTTTTTAATAAAATTTTCTTTTACTATTTCAAATGAGCGCCATATAAAATAGTATTCCCGGTGGTCGACAGGTGGCGTTTTAACCACTGAGCATGCGCATACATACATATGCGCAGCAACTGCGCGCATATGTATATACCGAAGGATGACGCCGAATGGAGTGGATGTAATTGTAATGATTCAGAAATTTGTTAAATTTTGTGAGACAATTGCGAAAGCAAGACACGATATATAAAATGATGATAAACCTTAGATTCTCCTTAATGTTTATTATCTTTAATTGAATATTGTTTACGAATTCATGTTTCTTTGAAACTAAAGAAAAGAAGCAAACATACTTTTGGGATGCCGACACCAAACATTAACAAGATGGCTAATATACGATTCCTGACCTCTTGTACAGAAAATATTCCTTTCTATTCCATTTTTTTGCAGCTCTATGTAAGTAATATAACTTCAGTTTTATCCAATTATTGCATGAAACAGAATTTATTTAAAAATAGTTAAATTATCGGGTATATTATCAATGACGTCACTTCGAGCAGTCTTGCGTCAATATTGCTATAAAAAATCGTCAATTTATTTTTAATCTATCAATATAAAATTGTTATGATATAAATAATTATCTGCCTAATATTGAACTTTATAATTTTCATCGTAAATAATTTTATTTGAATTCACAAAAATGTTGAGCAAATAATAAGGTAAGAAATATGATCAATCACAATACAACGTAATTGCATGTCATTTTTTAAAAATTTTCTATTATCATATTACTCTGTCACAATATTTATCAATATTTAAATATTTTTTACTAATTTATGAATTTTTAATTTTTTTTTTCCATATAGATTAAATAATTTTTTAGATTACATGGTAACTTAATTTGTCGGTAATCAGTTAGATTACCTTTTGAGGCTGGTAAAATTATAAAACAGAGCAGTTTATGTTGTTATCGATAGAGGTCGTTATTACAAACTTTTTAGACTCAAATAATTGAAAGGTATTGATCATAATTACAATAGGAATGTTCTTGTACTCAAATTTTTCAATGAAAAAACTATTTCATCAATTGAATAAGAAATAAACAACGAATAATAAAATTGAAAAATTATTAAGTAAAATCATGATTGATTCAAAAAAATCAACCTGATTTTTCAAATTATTTATTAGTAAACAAATAAATCTTGATTGAATCAAATAAAACATATTTTATAACAAATTAATTTATTTAAAGTTTAAGAAAAAAAATATTCCATGGCTTTTATTTATCCGATTAAATTCATAAAATAAATTATTCAATAGATATTATATCATATGGACTGGGTGTTTAGTAGATTTATCTCTGATGAAAGGCAAATCAGTCTCAAAACTGACCAATCAATTTCTAAACGAGAATTTAACTGAGATCTTTATCAAAAATGGAACAATAGTAAATGATCATTCGGTGTATTGTATATATGGTAATGCCGTCAACCTGCCATGACGTGACCCGGAAATAGATCTGAACGACTATAAGGTACCGGTGGAGAGTACAATGATCTTGATTATGTGACTATGGAGATCACGATCGAATTTATTTTATTTTGCTTTAGTTTTTTTTATTTTTTTTCAAATATAATCTTAATTTATACCGCGAAGAGTCCATGATTATGTGATGTTTTGGCAAATACAGCCAACACTAAAAATATTTTTGAAATTGACGCAACACTGATATAATGATCAATAAATTTCAAGGGGTAAATTTATTCTTCAAAAGCTAGAAGTAGAGAAGGGGATGAACAATGTTGGCATGAGATTGTTTTGTAGGAGAATAGAACATTAGAAGTAATTCTTGGCAGCTGAAAAAATTCATTATCATAATGGCGGTTTATTTCGCAAGCTGGAGCATAAAAAAATGTCGGAAGAATTGTTAGATACCATGAGGAGCGTGTAACAACGGGGCAATTGTCGCGACTCCATGGCGCCTCTGTCGCTGCGCCAGCCTTCCTACGCGAAAATCACAGTGACAATGTCCCTTGCGAGTGTTACAGAAAGGAAATCCCGGTGGACTGCTCGTAGGTTGATAAAATACTCTGCTTCGTTGGCACACGACGTGGATCAAGTTACAAGCTATATAATGAACATAAATCTGGGGTAAGCCCTACTTCTTGACACGAATTATGATTACAAAACCACTGACGAGGCTACTTAACTTCAAACATATATATATCGTCATAATGTTTTTCATGTTTTTTTTTTCTTTTTCTCATTTCCTTTTTACTCTTTATCATTAAAATGAATGAAGCACATTTACAATTTGACGATTATGCTTTTAGCCATTCCAAACATTGGTTAGTTAACTTTATTTGCGAATTAGTTGTCAAGTTATAAGCCTGAATAGTAATCGAAAAAATGTTTATTTGATGACTTGATTATTGATTATCAGGCTTATTTATCTATTTTGATATTTCTTTTTTTTTTTAAGAGAAAAAAAATAGAGACAAAGTCCATAACTATACGTTTCACGATTCGACCCCTGGTTCGACCTGAGAGGCTCGTAAATTTAACGTCATAGCGGTTGTCACCGATGCCTCTTTACGAGCAACGAGCTCATATTGCTGACGGGTGTATATACGACCGATCGAGATTCCTCGTGTTCGATCGACCAATTCCCCTGACTTCCCACCAGGTGTCCTATGACGTGACGTCGTTCGATCTTCATTTTACGCTCTTTCGACAAATGACTGCTTTTCATCGTAAAATATTTTTTTTTTTTACCTCCACATGTACTCTCTTTATGCTACTGTTTATGATTCTTCATTTCTCAATAATAAATTAAAACATTCTTATCAATTTAGTGCTCAAGAAAAATAAGCAGTTGATGATTTGCCTAGTAGGAGGTTAAGATAGTTCATTTTTAATTAAATATTAAATTTTCTATGAGTAAAAAAAAAAGGAACTTAAAATTGCATTGATTAATTGCGTGATAATAAAATAAAATGGAATAAAGAGAGAAACTTTGTTAAAAGCAAAAAGGAAGCATTTTATAATCACATGAGACTGAAATAAAATCTCGAAGAATTTCACCGCGTGGCTGTGTGATTTTTACCGGTCCTCAAGACCAGAGGAACATCGAAAAACAATTCCGACTGCGAGGTCTTGAGTTTTGTCGAAAGATATAGGCAGGAGCGTTGGAGCGTGCGTTATCGGTGGAAGATCGGACGAACAAGAGCGCGGCAGAGCCATAACCGTGGATCAACTTCTGGCTACGACCCTGTCCGCGAATACAACCAGTCTGGTACATACCAAGACTACCTGGCTGGCTGCGTCTCCTGCTGCTCTGTCTGCCTACCTATCTACCACGCAATAGAGTGTATTGCAGTCTCCATATACGCTCCAGGACCAGTCCAAACACTCGCACACTACCAACGTGCTGTATCGCTTCATTTTTATGCTCCAGCCGTGCGATAACTATAACTCTAAGAGACCTGTGCAGCAAACAAGATGCTTGCTTTGGAGTTTCAAGCGCCACTAAGTCTCATATCATACGACTATGACCTGTTGCTAGACCTTCTGTACTTAAATTAGCAGAAAATGATTGAATTTTAAGAAATAATTTTCGTCATCACCATAGTTGTTGATGAAATGATTGTAATTCTAATGATAATCAGTTATTTATCACCAACTTTTTTTGGCATTTAGGTTGATATGATGCAATTTAGTCAGGTGCGGGTTAGCTAAAAGATACTTGATCCAATTTAGAATGATTTGATAAATAATATCAGTGAAAATACATGGAGATCGTGCAGGTGTGATCATACTATGAATTAGTAGATTTACGTTCTCTTATTTTATCCTTTTGATTGCGACTATTCGCACAGTTCTCGTGTTTCCATAAACAGTTGAAGAAAGTGCAGTAGATATTGTTGTTGTTGGGCAATGTCTCTTGTAACGCGAACACCATTTTGAACGCCATTTCGTTGGACTGCAGACAAAAAATGATGCTGGAAGGACACACCTGCATCGTCGTGTAGTAAGCGTAGGTGTCTCAATGATAGCACACGCCATCAGGTTATTTCTTAGCTCGAGATATACCTCGAAGATTCCTTTCTACGTCCTGTAACCTGTATTCTAACCACTCATGTAGTCGACACCTCAACCTCACTTTTTATCTCCAGCATATTTTTTTTCATGCTCGAATATTTGATCGGAACCATTTTTACGATGTAAAAAATGTTTAAATGTCCAAACACACTAGCCATAAAATGGAACATGTTCCAACGAGTATAAATATACGGGCTTAAATTTTATGATGGTTGAGAGAAAATGGAAACTTATATGTTTTGTGTTGACAAGTCGATGTTTATTATAACTGGATGACATTTACAGACCTGGCACGAAAAAAGAACAATTGAAATTTGCGATGTACACATTCTCAAGTGTCGAGAGAGTTGTTTCAGGCGCATTCTATACTAGAAGGTGTTGAGTATGTGACCCAAACGTGGTGGGTAAACATTTATTAGTCCAGTGTCGAGGATATGATCATTGAATCGGTGGGAGAATTAAACGAGATATGGCAGGTTGTCATGTTGCACTTAGTCAGCGTTAAAAGCAAGACCACCTGGTCTTATTGGATACCTGCGTCGTTTAGCCAAGATATCTCGAAAGTTTTTTTCATCGTAAATTGTCAAGTGACCTTTCAATAAAGTACGAAAAAATATCCTGCTCCAGATGAATTATAATAATATGTAAAAATGGCCAATGTATCGATAGTAATTATAGATATTGTCAAATGTGACCCGTGGCACAGATTCTTATCCATCTTTATTGGAGAAAATACATTTGATCGTAATTATTGTAACGTCTAACGGAGCAGATCCCGACATCGTCCACCCTTGGGCATCGATCGATTCCCAGTCTCGCGATCGATGAATTTCTCGCGTCGATCCTAAGCCACGGTAAATCGAGAGTCTTACTGGTGGATACAAGATGAGTAAGATCGATACTGATAGCACATGATCGAGAGTCAGTGCACAATAATGTAGATCGAGAAATATAAGGGCGTGATCGTGGATCGAATTAAACCGAGCATAACTAACATGTCTATGAGTCTATTCTTTTATAGAATTAAAATTTTTTTTTAACTATCTACAACTAAAAAGATCATTCATGCTAAATTATCAATCCCCGATAAATCAGTATTATTTTTTTTTCAACTTTATTTGTTTATTTGTCTATTTTTATGCATATGCTGAGAATGCTGTATAAAAAATACGAGGAGACTGAGAATAAAAAAAATAACACGTACAACTACTCAAGTGTCGGAGATAAGAGTGTGTCCATATCAAGACGTGCTTCCAAGCAGCCGGCGCACTTTACTTGCATGCACGGAAGTGGAACAAGAAGTAAAGTTGAGATGCGAAGATGAAAGAGAAAAAAGTAAAACAAAACAGTTGCCGACAGCGGGCCCGTGCTTACGTGGTTCACTCTGTTATTTTGCTGTCAGTAATTCGGTAGTCTTGTACTCCTTGAAGTTGTCGTCCAGCTGATGAGATGATGCTGCGTTAACTGGATATACAACCACTAAAAACCCACAAATAAGTAAATATAACTTTTTTCGCTTCTTTTTTTTTAATCCCCTTTCTACTTATATATTCGATAATATCACCAACCAACGGTTATTTTTTCAACATTGTCATTAATATCCACTTTTACCTTTCATTTGTATCTTCTTCAATTTATACTATAAATAAATTTTATTATAATATTCTTACCATTATAATAATTTATATTTATATTTAATATTTAATATATTTTTCTGTAAATATCTTTAAAAAAATTCTCATTTTTATCGATCAAATTTGTCCTAATTTGTGGGTATTTATTTTTTGTTATGTTTCAGGTATCAATTGCCGATTTTTTTGCAAGAAATGCTGAAAAAAAAAAATCACTGAAATATCCCTGAGTCTGAGTTATGGATACATTCACGATTTCTTCGAGTCGTATGTAGTTGCTGTCGCCATGAAGAAGGCGCCCCATTTGCTTTATTGAATTAGGTTACATGATTTACGATACCGCCTACTGAACTCGCACATTATGCGATGTCGATTACACCAGACACGCGGCATTGATTTCTTCCCTGATTCTGCAGATCTCAAGTGAGCATATTTTAGCATTATATCGGTTATAGACATTATATTACAATCAAGGTGGAATTTAATCATATTAAAATTATTTATCAACTCATGAGAATGAAAAATGATGCAGTTAAATTGAAATTTCACCATTTTATCGATTATTTATTTTTTAAAATCATTTATTTAATAGATGTGTTATGTCAACATCATTTTATTGGTTCATTATGTATACGTATGGTGGTTGTCAAACAATAAGTATTAAGCGACGACGTTTCCACCTCGATCGAGAGTCGCCTGGGGGACATTTTTGAATTGTCGGCTGGACCACACGTACGGGTCGAGAGGCCACGGTGCATTCGAGACTATAATATGTACATTTCGATATACATATGTGTATAGATGTGCGCCCACGTTTATCAACACTTATCTTGATTTAAACAAAAGATTTTTACTTTCTACCAATTTTTTTTAAATCGCAAAAAATTGCCAATTGTTTTTTAATTTATTCCTTGTTAACCCTTTCAGACTGAGAGTTAATAATAAATTTGATACATCAGTCTTTCATTAACTTCAGTAATTATAACCGGATGTGTTTCAGACAATTAATTAATCTAAAATGATCTTTACTGATCTTTTCCGGTCGTACACATGAAAGAACCAATCGCTTAATTGTTGTTATGTCGATACATTTAACTACTTTCAACTTCTCACGATTGAGGGCTTGGCCTGCTTATGCGAAATCGAGCGATCGATCGTCACCGAGAACGATACCGAGTGTTGTTACCGGATGATTTAAACGCCTTTAGAGGGTGCAAGACTATCCCGATGTCATGTCAAACAACAATACATTCTCACTCAGTTACAAAGTATACATTACCCTTTCCCTTTTCTCAAAATTTTTATTACTAGTGATAACCATGACAAAGAAATCGATAGATATTTATTTGAAATTGTCGTACAATCTTCCGATTTATTATTGTCAGTCTGTAAACGATTTAGATTATAGTAATAAAGACAATAGTAAAAGTTTGAAAAGTACCTAATCATAACGTGGGTATAGATCGATCGATTAGTTAGAATTCTCGATCGTCCGGTCAATCTGCAGGTCACACCATTAATGTTAAGAGATCCTAGAGAGATGTCATTGAACCGTTATATTCTCTCTGGATGTCCCGTAGACTCTTTCTCGATCATGACGATCGCGATCGATGGACCTCCACCTGTGCCGATCTCTACTCTCTGCTTTGGTCGTTATATTAAACAATCTTTCTTCCCGGTTTCTCACGCCACATTGCCCTTCAAAATAATTCCAATCATCAGACTTTGCAAAGTCATTATCATTTCTCACTGTTATTACTGATTCCCTCTACTTGACTACCTAAAGTGTAATTAATCTTGGCTTTCATTAACCACCATACATTATTAAGGGGCTTCAAAAATTTTAACCTCAGGTTTTTCTGTTTTTCTATAGACTAATGAAGAGTTAGAGACCATTCGAAGTACTTGGATTCTGATTGCAAAGGAAATGGAGACCATTTCAAGGATTGAGTGCAAATTGTAAAAGAGTTGGAGATGTTAGAGATCGTCTAGACGTTGAAGGCAGAGTGGGTGAGTTTTGAATTATTCTATTATATTATTTAATAAATTTTGAAACATTGGATAAGGTTATTTTGATAAATAGAATGGTTCTAAAGTCAATAAATACCGTTTGTTTTAAATAATTTTTCTTTTTAGTCTAGACACACCGAAACTTTGTTAAAAATATTTATGATAAATCATCAGTTCATTATGATCATTCAAACTTTGACTGAATTTTTCAGATTCTTATCACCCAACTCAAAATTTCGACCACACATTGACCATAATTCTCCGACATACAAAAGAACATCTTGTCATCCTAAACGTGAGAAAATCGTCAGCATGTTCTCTTTATTCACAACAGAAACAGCAGCAACCTGCCCAATTTCTTCTAGAATGATATAATTTATTTATTTTCATCCCTTTGTCGTTCATTAAGCTACCTTCATTTGATGTTATTCCGCTCTTACTTTTTCTTCAGATTTTTTTATGCACAATTTATTATCAAAAGCATCAAGTGAATTGATCATCTTTTCACAAACTCAAAAATGAAAATCTTCTTCAACTTATAAAATAAATCAACAAAAACGTGTGTATTTATTTTATTTTTTTTTTTTTCTTACTTTCAAAGGTGACTTTATAAAAGTTTCCACCCACTTTATAAAATGCTTTGTATCCTCAAGATTTAGTCAGCATGCTCGGATACACCAGCATGAAAACAGGACTGAGGAAAGATTTATCGGAATTGGATGAAGGCGACGAGAGTATCGTAAGGCCAACATTGTACAACAATAACCCACACACAACCTTTTACTGCTACTTTCAGTCGCATTCAAAGCCATCATCTCTATTATCGCTTTCGAAATTTTTCTCTTCTTTGTGTTCTTTGTCTTTTTTACATTTATTTTTATTTTCACCAGTAGCCCAAAATCAAACAATAAATCAATTTAATCTTCACCATTGATTGTATTGTTTTAAGTGCATGTTTGTGGATATATAACAAATGATATTCGGATTTTTCATTTAATGGTCAAAAATAAAGGAAATAAAAAAGAGAAAATTGAATGAATGAGAAAACAAATGTTTAAAAATGAAAAGAGAAATGATAAGCATACAAGGATATCAGGTCTTGAGGTATATAAATAAGAAGCAAATAATAGTCTCATTCATTCGATAAAGAGTAACTATATAGAAATCTGAACATGCACAAGACGAAGCCATCAACTTGGACGACAATATAAAGCCATTGTCCAAGTGTTTCGATTACACCCATATATCTGGCTTTTATGCCATTAAGACAACCTGGATCTTTTACTTATACATTTTTAGCTTCTTTTAATCCTTCTGCGATTAGGGAATTATTTCGCCATTCTCTTTAATAAATTCGTCATTTTTCAGTTGTAATAACCATCTTTTCCAAACCATGAATTGAAGTAAATTTTATTTCAAAATTATTGTAATATTTTTATATTTTCAGAAGCTATTTATTGATTTTTTTTCAGGGGTTCATGAAAAATTAAAGATCATTTCGGAGTTTCAATGTTGATTGTTATGAAGTTGGAGATCATTTTAGAATCTAACCACTAGCTGTAGAGAGTTTGGAAATCATATTGGATGCTGAATGTTGATGGAGAAAGAGTTGGAAATCATGTAGACACTGATAACAGAGTGAGTAACTTTTTCAGCCCTATTCTGAAGTCAAGTTTACTCCAAAATTATTTCTACACTTCCAAAGATTTCTTTCGAAGTAAATAAATTCATTAAGTATTGATGAAAAAAATGCACGACTGATTTTTAACATGAAACTTAATTACTACCTAATAAAATGAGTGCATAAAAAGATAGAGAACGTAGCGGTAGGTTGTCGTTTCCGGGTAGAAGAAACGGAGATAGAGAAAGCGAGAAAGAGTTGAGTGCACGATGCACACGATGCCCCAAAGCAAGTTGACCTCTCGAGTGTCCGCAAGTTGGGTCCAATGTGGCCGAGGAACGACACGGGGATCGTCTCTCTAATCTTCTTGATGTCCGTGTGCGTCGTCACCAACATAGAAACAACCACAGATGCAAGCGCATGGTGATGTATCTAGATCTCAGCTGTGTACTCCTCCCGCTTGGACAATGGCTAAAAATGGTCAAGGGTCGGTTTCCGGGTCACGCGTTTCTCGGATATGCTTGCCAAAGTATCAGGTGTCATTATGCCATTGTCCCTGTGCTGCTCAGCTAAGGCCTTTTGTGCTGAATAACCGTGGAAAAATAGTTTTTAACCAAATATACATACAGTTATGATGGAAAAAACTTTGACGACTTTAAAGATTTCTCTGGATCATCTCCACAAGTGGAATTTCAATGATGGAATTAAGTTTAGAACGGTGTTTGATTTTTCAATATTATTTTGCGCAATTGGATTTTTATTTATCAGTTTTGGCTACTGGAATAATTTATTTTGCACATGAATTTCTATTTGTTGGATTTTTTTTTTTCTTAAATAAAAAATATTTAAAAAACATCGAAATAAGCCGGCAAATGTATCCAAAGTCAGGTGTTCAAGGTAATTCGTCTCTTTTACTCTTCTCTGTCTTTCTTGTCGTTAGACAGATCTTTGCTGCCTTCTGGTGTCTATAGGCAGTCAACAAAGGACCCGAATCCGCGTGAAGCGAAACTTGTCGCGTTGACATACAAACCGCGGCTTGGGCGGTGAAACTTCACAGACTCACAATTCTGAAAGAATTAAAGTGAATGACAATATAAAAAAAGAGGATCATTTCAAACGTGTCGACAATAAATGTGGGAGAAAATCGTATGTATTTTTGGAAAATCATTGGTGAATGTTGAAATGATATTTCAGAGAAATTTATTCAAAGGATTTTATAATATATCGATTTTTTATAAGGCGATTTCGTATTTTATGTCACTGATACATTTTTCTTTTAATTCGACTTTTACTGGCGTCTTTGTGGGTTTATAACTTTGCTTAAAATAGCTGTAAAACCTTTCGAAATCACTCAGAGTATGATCTTTAAAAAGAAGTTATTTATTTTTTAGATAAAAATTTTTGTTAATAAGATTTAATTAGTTTAATCAAACTCATAAAGTTTTTCTATTCTCCGAGAGGCTTTGGATTCTTTTTGGTTAAAGGTAAATATTAAATTGTGTTTAAAAACCACAAGATTAGTCTTAGAATAATTTGAGTGATCAAAAAACAACAAATTAAAGAAATTATTGACATTCCAGAAATTTTTGTGGACTATTATTATCAAATACACTTGTTCATCCGCATGCCATTCTTCTATTCATACCAAAGAGGTCCATCAATGCCACCTTACATTTTTCTACAGAATCCCAGTTGGATTCTTTTCATTGATCTGCTCATGGGAGACCTGCAGAAAAGAAAGGAAATATACCTGCCAAAACTAAATACTTGTATAGTGTCATTTTGTTATACATTCGATCATTATGTAGCACAGGTATCTTAGTATTCATTGTCATCAAACCTAGTCCAACCCTCTTCCGTTAACTACTATTCTTATGTTTCCTCTGTAATTTTATCAGCTGACAAATGGAATTATCAGGTTTGTTAGTTTTATGGTTATTTAATTTGAGGTTTTGGATGAAAGTTGCTCATCAAATCTTTATGTATTCCGAAATTAAGTTGTGTCTAGACTAAATTGTTTTTTAATTGCAAATTTCTTGATAATCTTTAAAACTTCATATCTTGGTGAAAAATGATGAAATCTTTGTTAAAAACAGCTCCAATTAAAACTTGTTATCTCTATTTCTAGGTCTAACCAGGGAAAAGATTATTACAAACTATTTCTTTTGATTATAAAAAAAAATTTTTTATAATCAAAAGAAATAGTTTCAATTTAATACCAAGGTCTAAAAGTTCCAGTTGGCATAAAAAAGTTTTGTCCTAGTAAATTTCAGATTTAAAGTATTTTCTAAATATCTATTATTCAACTAGAATAACATGCTTAAACATGTGTTTTATTTTATTAAAATATGATAATTTTTAACGAAACTACAGCCTTTTAAAAATTATCTAAAATTAAATATTTCGAAGAATCAGTAAAATTCTTAAGCTCATGAAAAATTAATTTTAAAAACGACCGAGTTAATAACAGTGATAAAATATAAGCAGGTATTTGGAAATCTGTTAAAGAGTATCTACAAAAAACCAAATCTATTTTGAAACTGTAATAATAACATAAAAAATAGTAGCAAAGAAAGAAGACTGTCAAATCTCAGTCATCTTGACGTTATTGTCAGTTTATATTTGGTTCAGTGGACACTTTAGTCAAATTTATAAGGTGAAAATAAATTCCCATGCAAAGTAAAGAAATGACTGTTTACCTAAGCAAGCAGCAGGTTAAATGGTGAAAAAAGGAGAGACAAGGTGAAAGAAATAATTCAACGAGAATAATAACCAGAAAAAAAAGGTTTCCTGGATTCAAAAAAGTCTGTGGGAAAGCTGTGAATGGTAGACGATGTCCTGCAGTGCTCTAGTATTATTCAGCACACAAAGAAATCTCTTGAGAGTATAAGACATGACTGAAGAAAATGAAACGACGCATCAATGGATTACTATTTATATAATACATATACATGTTGCTTGATATAAGTTTTTTTTGTTGTCTATTGGTTTTATTGGTGGAATTTTTTTAGAAAAAAATCAAGTAATTTTTTTTTCACCCTTTATCAAGTAAGTGTGTGACGTAAGGATAAAGAACAGGATGACAAAGAGGATAAGAACATTGAAAGATAATCATGTTATCGTATGGATCTTCATTCGTAGTAAAATTTTTAGAAAAATTGTTAAATGGATTTAAGAAATAAAAGGTTTTTTAGGACTTTCTTGTTAATTTAGATTTTTTTGGAAAACAGGAAATCATTGGAATGCATTTGAGATCTGACGAACTTTGAATAATTTTTTTTACTCATAATTTTCATGCATAATAAATTTTTCTTGTATTTTTTAACAAAAAGTGTTGTTTAAAAATTATCTGGCAGGCATTGGAATGATTTTATTGTGAA